TATTACGGGCCCTTTGAAGTTGGAAGAAAACATTTCGGCTGAATAGAAGTACAGCTGCAGGTGCACGTCAATAGGGTTAACAGACACTTTGAAAATAACCAGTACAGTCAATCAAGCGGGGGAAATACCTCAATTGCAGAGGTAAGGCTTTACAAACAACATAACAAAATGATTATATCCAACAGTTGCATTTTTATATTTTTTTGACTGAAATACTCACATAATCCATCATCTGGGTGTCATTAGAAAATCGATTCAGGATCCGACCAACGAGGGTAGTGTCAAAAAACCTGGTAAAAAACAACGAAGCACATCAAAAGCATGATTAGAAATTTCAGTTTCGTTGTCCAAACACAGCCTTAATAAAATTCATTACTTTTAACCCCAAAAGTCGTCTTTCTAATTTGCCGTTCGCATTATTTGCTGCCGAAAGTTGATTGACATAAAGGCAAAGACTAAAACAAGGAGAACCATGCAGAAAGAGACAGGATTAACCTTATCTACAATCGTTTCGGACACATGAAAAGACACTCCATTCTCATTTCAACATGTCATTTCTCCATCCAGCGTCTTCATAGAAACGCGTGTAGCCTGTGTATAGATGATCGCATACATTATCGTTTGCCACAACTCAGTGGTCCTTCCTGAGAAATGAACCCTTGTCAATAGCAACTAGCAAATGCGTATCAGCTTTTAATCTGCGAGTAATAACGTGTGGAGTACCTCATTGGTGCACGTATGATATTCCTCAGCATTCTCAGGTGTAAGCGCTTGGCGGCGACTACGAATGACAACATCAACATCGCGGTTGATAGCGCTTGACTTACTGCCACCGAGACGGACAGGCCTGCGTAGCCAACAAGATACTCGGTGTAAGTTCTTGCAGTCTGAAACAGAAGTGAAAAAAAAATTATTAACTACACTTTGAACAAAAAACCTAATATTTCGAATTTCGGAAAGTTACGTATTTTTGTTACATGTTAGAGTTTCAAGAAATTAAAACACTTCCAATTTTCAAGTATTGCCAGTAAACCTGGGAATTGCTGGTCTTGCGCAATACAGAACAAAAAGACTTGTTTGAAACATTTTTGTTTGGAACGATTTCTCTCTAACCTCGTTGGATAAGCCAGCTTCAGACCATTCAGAGAGCCAGAAGTTGGTTGTAACAGACACTGATGTTTGTAGTGCCACAACCACTCCGACTAAGAGGATTAAACCCCAGCCAACGCTCCCCAGCAGGTACAGGTACGTCTTGTAAGACACCGATCCACGCACCATTTCTTCCTTCTCTATCAGCTGTCCATCCCCTTCGGCGATTTCTTGAGACGGAACACAAAAAAGGCAAGTCAATTGCTTCAAGTGGAATGCTTCGAGTTTGTGACACAATTTCACAAAGTTTCATTTCATGATAGCGTGAAGGATATGACAAACACCTAATAAGAAATTTCTTCCTGAAACATTTGCGCGTTGTGTCTTTCATCACACCAGATACACGGTTTTGTTGCTTAAATTCTCAATGCAAATCTAACAATCGCGACGTCGTTTTAATAATAATATTTTGATGGCATTTGCGAACAGACCCAAGCTCAAGCTGAGGGATCCATCACGCTTTGCAATTGAATTGACACCAAAACGTTTCAAAATTTCACTTTATTCATAAAATGAAATAATGAATAAGCGATATTTTGTGATGGAAATCAAGAATCTTAAATGATAATGCGACAAACCAGCTGATGCAATGGAAACGTTTCGTTTCAACTTCAACCGTTCATCTTCAGCACTCTCCGCCTGATCATTATCCCATCCTGCCGCTGACACCTGTTTAATCTCCTCATACATCTCGGGATCTGCCTCGATGATGTCGTCCAAACTCCCACTAGCGGCAATGGTGCCATCTTTCATTTCAAGTATCTGACAAAATGTTATAAAAGTACGTAACAAATGCATCCCTTTATAATGCTACCTTGATGTACCACAAAAACAAAGGTCAAACTTTATGTCAATCATCAAGGATGCAGTTCGTCGGACTGTCAAGAAACGGCATTTTAACTCGTCTAAAATATATTGCCAACAATCTATATTTTCCAAAGTAGAAAGACATTGCGTAGTTTCAGATATTCTTTATAATTTGTCCGCCAACATAATTTCCAGATGCTAGGTATACATGTACACGTATTTAACTTTCTGAAGAAACTACCAATTTCTTTTCATTACAAAATAAGGTGAAAATAACGCAGGAGCTATATTGCACCTGGTGGCACATGTTTCACCTCCATATTAGGTCACGTTTTAGTTTTTGCGAGGGTTTACAACTAAAGTTGATGAACTTTTACCAAGTCGGCCCTACTGAGATACTGCAGTTGGTGGGTCACAAGAATGACAGTTTTGTTGTTACGGACGAGTTGTTTTATGACGCCTTCTTCAAACAGTTGACGGCCGACGTGCACGTCCAATGCCGAAAGCGGGTCGTCCTGTGAGTTGAAATTCATGCAAATTGAAATAAAAGTGAAATAACTATTTCATGGAAATGAAATAAAATGGTAATAATCTAACAGACAAATGGTACTTTGGATTTCCATTACAAAGAATTGAAACAGCTAAATTTCCCCTCCAAGGAAGCTTGCCGTTACTGTTATACCAAACTATGTCCAAATTTAGCGGATTTAATCGATTTACCAAAATGACGACGTCGCTGTCAGCGTATATCGCTCGCGCTACACTGATACGTTGCTTTTGACCTCCGCTCAAGTTGATGCCTTTCTCGCCAATTTCAGTCTTGTCTCCAGCCGGTAAAATGCCAATGTCTGGTACAAGTGCACATGCATCTAAAACACTGCGATACCTGTACGTTGGAGAATAATGTTAATACTTGTAACTGTAAAAAGTCCTGACGATGCTGTTTTAAATATCCAGACAAGAAATAAAGGCCTCATTTCTAATAAATTCCTTTTTTGAAATTTGGTGCCCTCGAACCCACATCATGACGCTGAGGCTGTTACGTAATTCAAGTAATACCATAAATATATTTTAGCCAGTTTCCGAAGAAGGGCATTATTGACAAAATATTTGTTGATATAATATTCACACTAATTGCTTAGCCTATTGATACTGGATGACCCATAATGGGCAATACCAGCAAAAGTACTTTCTGTAAAATAAAAATTAACAAAAATTAAAAGCCCGTAGATACCGTTTCTTGTCAATCTTTGACGAAAACAGAATGTTGTCTCGCAGAGAAGCATTCATTAACCACGGTTTCTGAGCTGCGAATGCAACACGCCCTTTTTTTCTAGGTCATAAATTTAAAAAAAATTAGATTTAATATCCAATTTATGGAAAATTTATATGGTCAGAAAGGCAGAAGACTATCAATAAGTGCTTTGCATTATATTTACTGAGAACAAGTAGATATGCAGCGAAAGACTTTGAAATGGCATTTTAAGAGAATTGCATCATACGCCACACATTTCATTTTCATACAATATCAGCAAGAAAACACGTTCAGTCCATCGTTTGAAATTGCAAGCTTCAAAAAGAAAAGGATGTGCTAACCAAAATTAAAACAAGACGCTAACATTTGCAAACGGTTTGGGGATGTCTTCTTTGAACAATGATAAACACTAGATGGCAAAATTCCAATGCGCATGCATGTACTTACTCATTGATGTGAACATTCCCAGAGAGTGTTGTCATTTCATTTAAGATGGCAGCTAAAAGCGATGACTTTCCACTTCCTACTGCGCCAATCACCATGGTCAATTTGCCTGTTGAAGTTTTTTTATTAATATGGAATTTCAACGTCGTTTAAAAGTAGGAAAAATTACCCACACGAGATGTGTCTACACTGGACCCTTCGTTCGGCATAGGAGGAATATTAACAACCATTTGAGTACAAAACCTCTATTTTTTTAAAAATCACTTGAGAATTATATTCCAGTTAGTTTGATTAGAGTGAATGTTACCCAGAACATGTACGGGCTGACAGTTTCTTTTCTGAGTGTAAAACAACACGTCTCGAACTAAGCCAGGCCAAATAGAAGTTAAGCTCTTGATTTCACCAAAGACCCGTCGTAAACGTTGTGTGATAATCCACATCATGAGAAATTTGACAATGTTAAGTAATTCGTTCACATGCAGTTTTCCTTCCGCTTACCAGCTGGTATCTCAACATTTACGTTGGACAAGGCAGGCGAAGTACTTTCTGGATTCCACGCAAAATTGCCATCAGTGATCTGAGTTTAAAATTTATAGAATTTCATGGGAAAGTTTGAAATTTAAATTTGCACAATCACTTTTTCTCATAATTCAAGGAAATCACAATTCATCTTTTTTATTCTCCTATGGGCCAAATGACTTTAGAGTGGCGGCGGTCTTCAAAAACAAAAGCGCAAACACAACGTAACATTTCAAACTAAGAATGTAAACGGAAATTTTACAATCTCAACAGAAAGTCCCAACGTCGGAGTTCACATTTGCACCCCTAGTGATTCAATAGCAGTACCCATAGTAAATGGTGCAAACTTGCACCCCAGTTTGGGTGTTTGCACCCCTACAGGGGAGCATAGACCATAAACTGGGGGACAGACTTGTACCTAAATTGGTGCTGCTATTGTATCAATGAAAGGGGTGCAATTTGAACCTTTATTTCTATAAGTGAACTTGCCGTATCAAACTGCCTTACCTTAATGGCTGTTCCCTGATCTGAATTGCTCGCAGAAGCATCAGTCAACCGAGGCAGTGAGATTCCATTCAGCATCAGCGCCCTCTCAGTGTCACCTGTCTGATCATCTGAGTCGTCGGTCTTAGTGTCAATGGAGACCGTTGGCTCGCTCAATACCTCGTCCAATTTGCGAAACACTGCCCGGCTACCATCACTGTACCTCTGAAATCAGAAGAATAGAATAGTTTCCCAACATGCAAATCCTTCCTTAAACCTTATGAAAATTCTGATTGCAGCAGATGCCACAACTCAAACACCATGTCACTGAAGCATGTTATTTATTAATTGGCATTCATTGGTGTGCGCTGACGTAAAACTGCAGCAAGTAATGTTGGAGACCGCGTGGTCCGAAAAAATTATGTTCATGTATCTGCAAGTTGCTTTGATAACGATATACATTACATGTAGGTACAAGGCAAGATTTGCAATAGCTGAGGGTACACGTAGTTGCATCTCATTTCTCTTTAAGCCAGAAGGTATTTCAATATATACCGGTAATGCGGATATACACATCAAGATTTGAAGATAATCCATTCAAATGTAAAATTTCCACTGTCCAGAATTGCCTTTTATGCTGAACAACACTTAGTGAAAACATGCAATCATTTTTAATGGATTGATTTGGTTTGGATATGCATGCTCCTCAAACACTACTTTGTATGTTTTTCGAGGGGTTGATATGGAAAAAAAGTCACATACTGTGCTTTAGGTTCAGAATAAGCATATGGTTTTCTGCTATGTTCAATAACAACTCATTACCTTTTTCTCCTTTGACAGAGGTTTTCCTTCCGTGTCCATCGGTACAAAACGATCTCCCTCTACTTCGGGCGCCAGGAGAAATTTTATAATTCGCTTGGAACTGACTATCGAGCCTACTATGGCCGACACCGATACAGGGATCATAAAGAGAGGGACCGCGATTAAATTGAAGAGGGACAGGGAGGAGAATGTGATATCGGGCGTCAATGGTCGTCCAGATATCGGCTCAAATGTTATAAACGCCTGGGAAGTAAAAAGGTTTAAACCGTGAAACAAAATTCGCATCTACATATAAGAGATGTCAATAAGAATTAATATCGAGAAAATAATATTTTTACGATTGCTCATAGGACTCCCTTAAATGAATGCGCTTTTGTTTTAAAGGCTGACACGAAGTAAATTTCTATATCCCTCAATGCTCAGCTCAGTTGGGAATCTAGTATTTGGAAGCTTTAACAGCAGATACAAAGTAACAACTAAACTGAGTAATTCTGCGTTGTAACACGGTTATCGGCTGAACTACCTTCAACATAAATGGATATTCAACAGGATTCCAGTTGAGGATCTGTTGGGTTTCATACCAGATCTTTCGATTCCCATAGAGAAAAGCACATTCGTTACAGTTCCGCACAGCCAAACTGCTACAGGTGTTGATGACATCCAACTAAGGAACCTGGGGATCGACTGCTTCCTAATTGGTTGGATAAAATCTTAGCAATCGGGCCAGACATAGAGTTTTTACAAATGAATCGGCAACACAAATAAAACGGGCACTCTACTTACTACCAATGTGACCAAGACAGGGACACCGAAAGTGATGGACACTGCAACAAACATGACAAATTTTTGCGTTACCTTGCCAGATTCCGTGTACTCATTCGGCAAGTCTTCTGTTTGGTTTACTTTTGTTTTTCGAAAGACATATGCCTTCAAATTCAAATATGTACAATTTCAACTGAAAAATCCAAACAGACGTCAATTTGGCAAATCATTTGTACAATACGTAAGTTGCGAATTAATTACATGTATTGGGAATAAAAATGGCTTTATATAAATAAATTCTCATTTTCAAAAATAATTACCCACAAAATCCAAATCCTAAATCCAAGAGAGGTTACAAAATCAAAATGAAGCCACTTCACGTGCTCTTTTATGAAACTTTTGATATGATGTGTTCGATTTGTCTTTTAAAATTCAGTACAAATTAAGTAGTCGAAGACAAGGAAGGGAGCACGCACTTCAAGTTTCGTTCAACTTCGTCAGCGTGTTTTGCTATTTTACCAACAGGTGGGCCTTAACGCACTTCATTAGTTTAGCTTACCCGAAGTTATCATGCACAGATTGATGTGGAGTAAGTTGCGTACTTCTTCCTTCCGAACTACCTCTATTGCCTTGCTGTACAACTCCTCCCACGCATACATCTTCAGTAGTTTAATTCCTTGCAGCAGCTCGTTGGTCAGCTTCAAACGTTTGTCGGAGCAACGCTGCAACGAGCATGAAGAAATTACTCTGAAGTGTTTATATTGCTGTTCTGTGGTTGGTTCGTTTCAAAGACCCTTATCCCATCGAGACTCCAAGGTATCTGTAGTAATCTTGTCATTTATTCAGTTAAGCCACTCATATTGCAAATCTGATAATTTTCGGTCACAGAGTCTTCCCCGTAAACGAACGTAACTACAACAGAGAAGTAACATTGGGAGACTTGGTTTTCCGTCTAACGGTCTATTGGGAAGTTCCCAACAACCGAGGAAAAATCAGTTCGGGGCGTTTCCTTTTTTTTCCTTTGCTTTGTTTTTATACCAATTAAACAACTTACCAGAATAGCCTTCTGTTTGTCGGCCATAATAGCTGCAACTTTAAACTGAATCGGAAGAACGACTACGAACAAGGCTGCTCCAAGCAACGCCGAAAACCCAATTTCAAAGTACAGGAAGATGAGGATGATCACAATCTGAAAAGAGAAGAATTTTGGTAATCAGTGCTCAATAAAAAGATTAGACCCATAGAATATTATGCATTTAAAAATTACATGAGTGTTACTGATTGGCATAGCGCCGCGCGAGCTGACGAGATATTACCTGGAATGGAGCAGACCAAAGGAAGTGCATGGACTGCAACATCATCATGACGTTGGTGGCGTCAGCTGACATGTGGTTGGTGATTTGGCCCATGGTCATCTGGCCCCCAGTGGTAGCAAACGTTGCCAGTCGTAAAGCCTTCTTGTAAACCATGCTCTGGCAAGAGAAAGTGGGAAAACGACAGGAGATCCAAATCTCCGGATGACAGTGTACACGGATTAACTCACTGTCGTCGTCCTCTATCACTTCATATTTTAGTTTTAAAATCAGGAACAAATTTGAGTGGTCTTCTAACTTTGTTAAAGGTTTACCTGGATGGCCGCTCGGACGTCCACACTCAGCGTAAAGGAGAGTTTGAAATGGGCATTCATAATACACGCCCTAATCGACAGCACCACGAACATCGTCACAACGAGAACGAAGCCATTTCCAAAGAAATCGTCGAAGCTCACGTAATGGGGCGGAGGCTAAAAGATAAAAGTGGAGAGAGAATGGCATTATATTCTACAGAGGATGCTTCTGTGTTGGTCACGATAAGTGGTTCTGGATGTTCCCTTTAGATCTAGAGCCAGTGGTGTCGTTGAGTTTGCGGAAGGAACTGGATACCAGCCCGAGACTTTCACACGTATACATGTACCTGCTTGTTTTGGACATTTTTTAAAAACCTGTTGGTACCAACGTTCAGGTTCAGTCTTTCGATTACGGTGTTCTATTAAGGCCATATTACACTCCGCGGTAAGAGAGGTGTTGCACTATGCGGTAAGAATTGTTTCACTGCGCTATGAGAGAAATCACCCTCGCAGTGAAGCAACTCTTATCGCGCAGTGAAACTACGTATGCGTGCGCGTTCCTTCACTAGCCCCTGGTTGTGTAGAATACCGAAATGACACTGATTGGCTATTCAGAATGAATATACATGAACGTACAGTCAGTCGGGTGTGTATTTCAAAAGCTGCGCGCTCGCACCCAAGTATTCTCTAGCAGGCCACGCACGCGTAAATCTGCGTCGCTCGTAAACATGCTGACTAAATATATATGTGCATTGTTAGGTTCCCAAGTGCAATCATGGTTGGAGCATGAAAAAGTAAGATTTTTCATTTTTCACGTTCGACTTTAATTTTTAGGCAATGGTTCGCATTACACCCAACAACATCCAAAAAGCACAAACATTTGTCAGACTTATGTCAAATACTCGCGTAAAGAATGGAAAACCACAAAATTACTTGGCAAAAGTAGCAACGTCCCACTTGTGTCAGTATGCAAATTGGGGTCAAATTTTATACCGTAAAACATTACTGTCAAATATACAGTATTATATTGCATTCACAAAAGCACAGTAAATACGTGTAACAAACACGTTTGTTTATTGTAAACTTCGTTTACAGTAGATTAATGTTGCAATAATACAGTATAATACTGCTCATTTTCATAACAGTATTATTTTACAGTGTATGTGCTTGTCTAGTCTTAAGATCGGCCGAGAACATAATCCCTTATTATATTCCAGGCATAAACAAGGTGGCCGTCAGTAATATATAAAGAGTCACTGGACTGTAGTGTCCTGAATGAAGCTGAAGCATATAATAGACCTCGATGGTAGTCCTAGTGAAAAACCTTTTCGTTGTTTGTACCTCTTTGCTCCGGTATTTTTTATCACAAAGAGAACAGGAATAAGAATCCAATTTGAATGAAATGTCCGGGGTCTGCAGCTGTTGGCAGCCGGTTGCGATCTATGGTAAGTCATTTTACCCCTGTGTGCCTCTATCCACTCAGGAGTAAATGGGTACCTTTGAGGGCAGATATGGTTATGAGTAGCCAATTGAGCTGAAATGGCAGCATCAGGCTAGTATACCCAACTCCCAAAGGAAGCTGAGCTGGCTTCAAGAATGTTCAGATGTTGCCAGCCCAACATGCTGGGTAAATAATAACAGCGCCTTGAGCAGCTTCATGCTGGATATCGTTTGCGCTTAATAAATGGTCATTGTTATTATTACGTACAGTGTACTACCGGGAGACGAAGAGGTACTGTTTAGCACAGGCAAGTCGTTTGGAGTGGGATAAAAACTTCAAACAAAAGGAAGCTCTTTTCGTCTCCACCTCAGATTGGGGAGTCTGGGGGCACAGTGTGAAGGGGCGGGACGCACCAACTACCAAGAAAAGAATATAGCTAAATGACGGAACAACTACGTAATTAAAGGGCATGCGATGTGCTGAGTGGACTTACCAGCTCGGAATCTACTGGGTAGCTTAGGGTAACAACATAGGATGTGAGAGCGCCGATGCACAAGGGACCTACAAGATTTAAGACATCAGCTGCTATCTTCAACAGAGCAGAGACCAGCATAACAGACCAGTAGGCATCACAGTAGATCTTGAACATAGATGGTCTTGTGCCCTTTTTCTCAGCCCACGCCTGTGGGTTCAATGAATTCAAACCGAGAGAAGTGGAATTTCACAATCAGCATCTTTTCAAAAACTTATTTCCAATTAAATTTCTTAAAAAGAAAATTCAATGAATATGAAAAAAAGGGAACGCTTGCAACACTGTTTTGAATGTACCTGTAGCTTGTGACTGGCGACATGAAAGCGCGACATTTTCATTTGAATGTTTGCCAACGGTAAATAATGACGAATGCTTAATATGCATTACAGCTTGTATTGTGAAAAGAAAATATGGAAAGTCTGCGTCAAATAATACAGGACTGGCAAAAAATTCATTTTGCCCTCTTGACCCAATATCTTTGATGGGCCACTTGGGATAAATATCATAATAAAAACAAAGAAGTAGGCCTACACAGTTGAATACTCTAAAGCTACCTTCAGAAAAACAATTCTTGCGTGCGATTTTTCCTTGAACACAAATTTCAAACTGAGAGAGGGCTAAGGCAAAACTATAATCAATTACAATTACCCACTACTTCAGTTTTCGCTTTTGTGTGTTTATGAGAGGAAGGTTTTGCAAACACATGTGTAGCTGCACATTAGAAACAAGAATTAAAGGTACAAATTCAATGAAAGCTAAAACAAAAAATATGACGACAAAATGGTTTGACTAAGAAAAATTATTAATAAACCAATTGTGATGTAAAGTTCTGCAGGAGTATGATACATATTACAGATGTACATGTACAATGTGTCATGAACATCACCCGTTAATTAATGCATTAGTGTCAGCACCCCCCTTCAATATTCCATGGCCAGGCAAGCCATCCCGTCCCCACCATCTCCCATCCTCCAGTCCTGGGCACAAGTATACACCACCACTTGTCAGACTAGTCTCAATGACGCTTGTTTCACCGTCTTCATATTGTGATTGTCGTCACGATGGACGGTGGAACGGGGTCACAGTTGAGATCCCTCCCAATGTATTGACGGATTTATACTTATATATATTTAAATATAAGTCAGTGGGTAACACGCGGCCTAGGAAAGTGTAGAAACGGCCTCGTAACCCTTGAATTAGCCCGCCAGCCAGTCTCCCTCTCTGATAACTGATAACCAACAAAATAACAATCCATAACTGTCAAGTGTTGCATTAAAATGGACAAAAAAATGTGGGGTTTCATTTAAAAACTCGATGGGTCGCAGTTTGATGCGTTTTACTTAGTGATGTGGTGCATGGGGTATATTTTTTCAAAACATGCACAGGGCATTCGTTACATAATAAGTGTAATTTTAGGAGGTTGTTGTGGGGAGGGTTTCTTGGTGAATATTTCTTGACCCTAGATCAAAAGACTACATTGGTAATTGTTTTCGTTTTACCTTTTCTCTGTCAAATGCTTCTTTGAACTTCCTGTGGTTGAAATCGGCTCGATGTCGTTCCGGAATGTCACCGAGATCATCTTGTTCCAGGGGTTTCTTGTAGCCTTTCGTGAATATCCAGTTCATCCACCAAAATGTTGCGTTGGACACGATGTTGACGTAATCATTTAGGAATCGCATGTTGCTGTTCTGAAGGTCCTCTATGACCTTTTTCCAATTACTACGAAACAGAACCTACCAAAAATGTTTTGGAAAATGCCGACAAAAGGTTTCGACGGAGTTTATTTTATATGAACTGCACGACTTTGAAATATCATTCAAACTTTTAAAACGTCTGTACTAGTGCTTGCGATATACTAGTACTAGCCACTGGGATAAAATTCTTCCTCTCTGTGTTGAAAAAGGGTTTTCATAAATATCGCAACAGATGGGTATTAAACAGGTGTCTGAATTGAATCTAACATCCAAGTTTCTAATGTATAATTAGAAGGCCTTGATGCATGCATGTAAAAAATACACAAAACAAAAAATAAATTCAAACGAATC